AAAAATCAATTTGGCAAGATGGAGGATGTTCGTGTTAGACGCGTTGTGCAAACGGAGGATTTATCAAACGTCGAATTTGAGACCAGCGAAGATGTGGAAGTCCTACCGACTTTCGACAGCATGGGCTTACGAGAGGAACTTTTGCGGGGGATATATGCTTATGGCAAGTAGTTCATAGCGGAGTAACTTGTATCCATTTGTTCTGGTTTGTTTAGGAGTCCATGTACAAGGTTAGGTCAGCAAGTAAGCGTGCAACATGCATATTTTAGACCAGCAATGTATTTTGTTACAGGATTCGAAAAGCCGTCTGCAATACAGCAGAGGTCAATAAAACCCATTGTGAAAGGAAGAGATGTGATTGCACAAGCCCAATCTGGTACTGGTAAAACAGCAACATTTTCTATAGCTATTCTGCAGTCTTTGGATACAACAGTTCGTGAAAGTCAGGTGTTGTGTTTGTCACCTACTCGTGAACTCGCTACACAAATCCAAAAGGCAAGTCAAAAATAACATAGAAGTGTTGTGTCAATAATATGACTGCCATTTAATTAAGAGTTCCATAATGTAACTGTCAGTGAGTTTCTCTTTTTTTAGAACTTTTTAAAGACTAATTGTTGTGTTCTGTGTAGAAATGTTTCCTGCAAAGCAACATTCTCTGCCAGAATTTCCAACCTGTTACTTTCAGTATACACTACTTCGCCTTTATGAAAATACTCCACAGCACTGCTATTTATATGTTTTTAGTAAAGCCAGGTTTGGATAAATTAAGTCAAAGTTACTTTACAACTGGCACTGGCACTAACCCAAAGGGAGAGAGCCTTGTGGAATTTCTTGTGAGTTCAAACCTGAATATTCTAAACCATGGTAAGGAACCTACCTTTGTAGTTTGCAATAGGAATGAGGTTATTGATTTGACACTAGGGACAAATAACATAGGAAACCTGGTAAGTAATTGGTATGTGTGTGGTGAGCCATCTTGATTGGACCACAGATACATATGCTTTCAAATACGTAACATAATAACGCAACAAGTTACCTTCAGGAATCCCAGGAGAACCAATTGCGACTCATACAAGGATGAGCTAAAGGTGAACCTGGAGATTATTTTGCGAAGTATACGCATGATAAGGGACAAAGATCGATCTGTTGACCAGTTGCAACAGGCCATCATCTTGTCCTGTTATCATAATTGTCCAACCATGACCACTCGCTTACCAAGGAGTGCACCTTGGTGGAATAGAAAGCTGAGTAGGCTAAGAGTTAAAACAAGAAAGCTATTTAATATAGCATGAAGGACAGGGCAGTGGGACACCTATACGGAAACCCTCACCTGTTACAATAAAGAAATAAGGAAAGGCAAACAATCCTCATGGAGGAGATACTGCCAGATCAACGATGTACCGGGCAGTGCCATACTCATGAGGGTCATGGCAAAACAGGCGACCAATAAGGTCAGTTCTATCAAGCTGCCTGATGGCAAGTATACCCAAACTGGAGAAGAAACACTGAAGGAACTGTTCAGAGTTCACTTCCAAGATTCAAAGTTGATTGATGATTTAGGTGATGAGCAGGGCCAGCAGAACCTGGACGTATGTGGGTACATAACGAACAGGGGAGACTGGAACCTGGCTGGTCGGGTAATCAATCAATCAAAAATCAGATGGGTGTTAGGTACCTTCAAACCATTAAGTCTGCGGGAACAAATGGTATTGTACCGGCACTTCTGCAGCAAGGGGCAGAACATTTAGTCCCACACCTATGCCGCATATTTACAGCCTGCAGGGCATATGGGTTTATCACTGCGGCTTGGAGTCAAGTTAAAGTGACATTTATTCCGAAGCCTGGGAAACTTGATTATACCGAGGCTAAAGCTTAACGTCCTATCAGCCTATCATCTTTCCTTTTGAACATGATGGAGAAAGTGGTAGATAGACATATTAGGGACGGTGCATTGAAAATTCATCCTCCGCACCAAAACCAACGTGCTTACCAAATAGGTAAATCTACTGAAACTGCACTGCATAATGTAGTAACATGCATAGAGAGTGCTATTGAACACAAGGATATTGCTCTTGGAGCATTCCTTGACGTAGAGGGAGCCTTTGACAGAACCTCCTTTGATACAACTGGCACCGGCACTAGCCTTTGTAGTTTTCAATAGGAAGGAGCCCACAATATGCAGATGGATCTGTGCCATGCTGGAAAGCAGGAATATAAGTGCTACATTGTCTGGAGAGACCCTGAGAGCGTCTGCGGCAAGAGGTTGTCCGCAGGGGGTTGTTCTTTCGCCTCTCCTGTGGAGCCTGGTCGTGGACGATCTTCTTTGGGAGCTCAACAGTACAGGCCACTTCACAGTATATGCTGTTGTATAGTAATCCTAATTAATGGGAAATTCCCACACACTGTATCAGAGGTCTTATAGATAGCCCTGTATACAGTTCAACAGTGGTGCGAAAGAACAAACTTGTCTATCAATTCAAACAAGACTGTGATTGTACCCTTTACTAGGAAGAGGGATATGTAGGGGCTCAAAGAACCAATACTCTTCAGTAAAGTGACACGGCTATCCAGTGAAGTCAAGTACTTTGGATTAACATTAGACAAGGGACTGACATGGAAACAAAAGCTGGATAAAGCTATTAATATTAATAAGTCCTATAAAACCTTCTGGACATGCAGAGGGACATTTGGGAAGACTTGGGGACTGACACCAAAGGTCATTTATTGGATATACACTGCTGTAGTAAGACCCATAATCACCTATGCCGCCACTATATGGTGGCCTAGAGTTAAACTTAAAACAAGTCAGGCAGAACTAAGAAAACTGCAAAGAACGGCCTGCTTAGGAATTACGGGAGCAATGAGAACAGCTCCAACAGCTGCAATGGAGACCCTACTAGGACTCCCTCCTCTGCATTTGCAGATAGAAGCAAAGGCCAAGTTAGGAAATTACAGATTACGTTGCAGTGATCAATGGAGACTTAAATCCGAAGGTTTTGGACATGCATACATGACTCGGGACATGAAAAAAGAACCCATCCTACAGATGGGATCTGATAAAATGCTACTGAAACATGTTTATGATAGAGCCTTCACGATCAGATTTCCTGACAGAAATGAATGGAATGAGGGGTTTCTACCTGATAGAAAGGGGTGACTAATCAGGTATACAGATGGTTCCAAGAAAAATAAAGGCACTGGAGCTGGGATGTATTGTGATGGAAAGAGGCTGAAGCATACCTTCAGCCTCAGTCAGTACACAACAGTATTCCAGGCAGAGGTGTATGCCATTAAGGCATGTGCAGTTAAGAATTTAGATAGGAACTATAGAAATAGGAACATCTATATCCTATCAGACAGTCAAGCCGCAATTAAACCACTTGGTACACACCAAATCACTTCAAAATTGGTTTGGGATTGCCACCAATTCCTCATACAACTGGCCAGACATAACAGAGTTCAGCTGATGTGGGTGCCAGGCCATGAGGGTATTGCTGGGAATGAAACCACAGATCAACTGACAACAGGATCTGAACAGCTGTTCATAGGACCTGAAGCAGCTTGCGGGATCTCAGTAGGAGAGTATTGCTGGGAATGAAACCGCAGATCAGCTGGCAAGAACAGGACCTGAACCAGCTTGCGGCCTCAGTAGGAGAGTATTGCTGGGAATGAAACTGCAGATCAGCTGGCAAGAACAGGATCTGAACATCCGTTCATAGGACCTGAACCAGCTTGCAGCATCTCAGTAGGAGAGTATTGCAGGGAATGAAACCACAGATCTGCTGGCAAGAACGGGATCTGAACAGCTGTTCATAGGACCTGAACCAGCTTGCAGCATCTCAGTAGGGGAGTATTGCAGGGAATGAAACCACAGATCTGCTGGCAAGAATGCGATCTGAACAGCCGTTCATAGGACCTGAATCAGCTTGACGCATCTCAATTGGAGTTGCCAAAAAGGCAATCAGGGACTGGACTGACAGAAATCACAAAAATCACTGGGATTCCATAACTGGACTCAAACAGGCAAAAGGATTTATATCAGGGCCCTCTGCCAGAAGAACGAAGGACCTGTTGAAATTAAACAGAGCATAACTAAGATGGGTGGTAGGATTACTTACTGGACACTGCCACCTAAAAGGGCACCTTTCCAAATGGGCTGATATACAACCCAACCTGTGAAAGGTGCCTACGAGAAGATGAATCAGCCACACACGTCTAATGTGATATAGCTTATTTAAGATATCACCACCTGGGTCAAGTCTTCATGGAACCAAGTGACTTTTGTGACGCCCCCGTGAACAAAGTCCTACATTTCATTTGAAGTGTAGGATTAATAAAGGGTTAATCCAAATGGGAAGCACAATAGACCATTGAAGGTTGCAGTGCTAGGGCCAGTTTTATGGCTCACCCCTCATACTCATACTTCACAACTGGCCGTTTACTGCCAGTCTTTGCGCCAAGCCCCTTTTTATTCAACTGAACCCTTGTGGACATAGTCCTTATGTAACATCGGCCGATGAGAAGCTGGGTCAAATAAATTAGACAATAAGGTCTAGTATTCATAAGAACTGGGACAACATCATTGCACATGTGATTATACTTGACTGTGTTACCTTGGAACTGAGATTTATTGCTTCACAGTGAACGTATTTGGTGTTGAATATTGAACAGCAACAAAATTTGTTTCACCAGTAAATCTGGTTTCAGCAAGATTATTTTCATGATCATACCAGCTGTGCAGTTATATTTAGGGAAAAAAATCTCCACAAATCACAAAAATTTAATGAAAATTGTTAGAAATTTTTTTTAACAAATGGTCAGTTTATTTTTGGGACCCATTTGATGGCCACATATTTTGGAACTATAATGTTAATTTTAATATTCTGGTATGGATTAGATTGATCTGGCTCAGAATAGGGACCAGTGGAGGGCTCTTGTGAACATGGTAATGAACCTTCATGTTCCATAAAATGCTGGGATATTCTTGAGTACCTGCAGAATTGGTGTCTCCTCAAGAAGGGTTCATCTCGATTAGTAAGTAAGTAAGTAAGTAATGTTAATATTCAAAGGGAGTTGACTTAGGACAGATAAACTCTGGAATACCAAGTATAAATAAAATCCATCCAGCTATTCTGGCAGTAGCAAGATGCATATAGACTATATGGCATTCCAAAACCACTTTGTCATATTCAGGGGGCTCAAAACATTGAAGCCTTTTGAAGTCCAAAAATGTATTTTGTCATGATCACAAAAAACTGAACTGATTAGCAGGTTAGACTTTATGTAAGTTGAAAGCATTCCTGGTAAGTCAGATTGTGTCTTGTGTACATCTTGCTGCATGCCGAGACCTCTGTACTGTCTTACTAGAATTTATTAATTTACCGTAGGCATTGGATTTGTACAAATGCAGTTTTATATTTCAGGTAATCCTTGCCTTAGGAGACTTCATGAATGTTCAGTGCCATGCTTGCATTGGTGGCACAAACCTTGGAGAAGATATCAGGAAACTCGATTATGGACAACATGTAGTCTCAGGAACACCTGGAAGAGTTTTTGGTACACCTTGTTTTAGAAGTTCATTAGTTACACTATCCCATACATAGAGTGAAATAATATACATGTGCTACATTTATCCACAGCACATTAACTTCACCAATTCTTACAGTTGGAACTCTGGCATTTTGAACTTATTAAAAGTAGGTCACAGGAAATGCTATGAAAAAAGAATATTAAATAGTATTTGAAGATTTTGTTGTTAATGTTTTATTTGTTAACTGCACTCATGTGATATCAGTAAAAAGAAAAGTCATATACAAATTTCTCATAGATATAATGCAGTTCAGGTGGTACTTTGACAGTTTTGAATGCTTGATGGCACATTCAGTACTTGTAGTTACTATAGGATTCTGACGATGGTGTAGTAAAGTCCAAAAACCCAATATATCAGTACATTCAGTACTTGTTCACTTTTTTGAGGTATAACCCTCTGTAAGAGGAACAAGAAGGTTCATCATTGCTAAAACTTGATGTAGGACCCTATTCTGAGCTGCTTTAATCCAGTTCAGATCAAGTTTACATGATTATCAGTAACTGTTATTATAACATGCATTTTATTATTGTCTTCTCATGATCTCCTACAGAGCTTCTTTTCATGTGTATTCTTTGCTTCTCATTGGACTTGCAACATTTCAAGTATTTTCCCTCCACAGAGATACATCCTAACGTAATTGAAAGTGTGCCAGTGGAACTAATCAACTTTAATTTAATAAGCTATGTATGTATAGCTGGTCATGCTATGAACATAAGTTGACCTTGCAAGAATTCATTGATTCCTTTCCTTTAAGTGTTTGTAACTGAACTCTCAGTCTTCCTTAATATTTCTTGAAATATGTCCTTTTGTAGAACACCAATGAATTAATTGCATTTCTTTTGGCTTATTTTGGACTTCATCCATCATCTGGTATGTAAAAGACAAAAGACCACGACATTTCAGACCCAGTGATTGAGACTAGCTCTTTCTAATGGGCCCAACTGAGTAGGTTTATCCTTCCCTACCCACCTGAAGACGGAGACAGATCCAGTCTCTGAAACGTCGTGGTCTTTTGTCTTTTACATACCAGACGATAGGTGAAGTCCAAAATAAGCCAAAAGAAATACAGTATACACCATCGTCAGAATCCTTTCAAGTCTAATTAACCCGTTGCCGTGGTTCGTCGTGTATGTTTCGTCAGGGATTTAAATCGTCTGGGGGGGTTCGACGTGTATGTTTCGTCCAGCTGCACACGTATGTTATAACGCCCATAATAATTGATGGTTTTGCTGTAGATTGTTAGATTTTTCACTGGCCTGTTGTCAGGAGGACTGTATTTAATGACACACGCGTTTAAGAGCGCTAAGTCGTCGTNATTTCAGACCCAGTGATTGAGACTAGCTCTTTCTGAGCTCAACTGAGTAGGTTTATCCTTCCCTACCCACCTGAAGACGGAGACAGATCCAGTCTCCGAAACNACAATGATGAATAAATAATTTTCGAGCAAAATTTAAATGGCCGGCTGAATATATTACCGCAGGAGCCGCGGCCGCGGAATTTAAATGACCACGTCAAAGGGTTAATTGCATGTCATGTATTTTTTGTACGTATGAATGGAGCTGCAGTAACAAGTATATTGTGTTTGTTTCAGACATGATTAGACGCAGAGTCTTGAGGACTAGGTCTATCAAAATGCTTGTGCTGGATGAAGCTGATGAAATGTTGAACAAAGGTTTCAAGGAACAGATCTATGATGTGTACCGTTACCTTCCTCCAGCAACACAGGTGATTAAAGGATATGTATATATATTGCATACAGGATAAATATTTACTTTAAGATCTGTATAGGAATTTATGGTCGTACTGAATCGTCATTCTGATCAATCACAATAATTGTAATCAGAAGTAATATATTATTTGTATTCAGGAGGTATCTAGTTTGAATCTTATTTCGATCATCAGCTGCCTGCAGGTTTTTTATTCTTTTCAGTCGTCCATTTAGGCAAATGCTAGAATCGAAATTTACAATGAAAGGTGACTACTTACCTTCTTCCATGATACATGATTTCCTAAGTAACTGCATTTTGTACAGCATCATTCATCATCGTCACTCATGGAGCTGAGCCCATCATGATGAGCTGCCAATTGTGCAGCTACTCAAGAACTTCCCAGCATTTTATGGAACCCGAAGGTTCATTACCGTGTTCACAAAAGCCCACCACTGGGCCCTATCCTGAGCCAGATAAATCCAATCCATACCATCCCATCCTATCTCTCTAAGATCAATTTTGACATTGTCCATCCACCTACATCTTGGTCTTCCTAGTGATCTCCTTCCTTCCAGCTTTCCTCTTTGTCCCCATTCATGCTCCATGTCCTGCCAATCTCATACTCCTTGACTTGATCATTCTAATTATACTTGGAGGAGATTGCAAGCTATGAAACTCCTCATTATGCATTTTTCTGAAACTTCCTGTCACTTCATCTCTCTTTGGTCCAAATATTCTCCTCAACACCATGTTCTCCAACAGCACAGTCTGTGTCCCTTCCTTAAAGTCAGAGACCAAGTTTCACACTCACACAGAACCACAGGCAAAATTATAGGTTTTTATATTCTAATATTTTATGTTTTTAGACAGCAAACGTGAAGACAAAAGGTTCTGGACTTTGTCTGGCCATATATGTGTTCGGTGTGTTCTACATTGTGCAATGGATTCGATGTAGACAAAAACGCATACACCATATGATCATATAACAATACATATCGTGAAATTGCACACCTAATATACCACTCATTAACAACCCGTACATCATAGAAACTTGTCTCTGGGCTCCACGACTAGGCTTATTATGTAGAAAGCTTCTACAACAAGACCTACAAACAACATAACATGCCCAGTTTCTACACTGTAGCTTTGGAATCTTAGTATTAAGTTGGCACACATATTTCTTAACCTCCCATAATAAATAAATATTTTTTTAACATTTTTAAAATATTTGTAATATTTTTAATATTTCCATAATATACTCAACACTTTATAAATCTTGATATACAGTATTTATATTTTTATCTTTTATCTTATTTTGTACCTTCTACTTTAATTGTAACACCAATTTGAGGCAAATTTTATATTAGTATATAATATGACACATTGCACTGGTATGGATCCATTGCAGTAGTTCAATAACTATAAGTATTCCTATATATAACTGCCTGATGATGGTCTTATAAAACCAAAACATGTAACAGGAATAAAAAGTCGAATTGTAAAACATTAAGCGAGTATGTTTGTTGTGTTGACAGTTAATCAATTCCTATATACATATGTATATACATATGCATGTAACTAGATACAAATGTTTAAAATGCCATAGGAAGTGAATCTCTAATGGACCAAAGTATTGCAGTTACTGCAAATTAGATTTTTTATTGCAAGGAAAACGTGTCTTTTAAGGGACACCAAAATGAATAAAAGTAGGGCTCCTAAAGCGGGCAGCATAACACGTATATATATATATATATATATATATATATATACCTGTATCACATATATTCAAGTTAGTGTCATCATTTTTTAGCATTTACCTCAAATTATATACCATGAGAAAAATATAAATAATACATATAAAATATTTTTCTTCTAGCCTGTGATTTTATTCTTGTAAATCAGTATCTATTTTGGGTTGCTTAATTTGGATCAGAATCTCATTCTGTTAGTACATTTCATTGCATATGTATATGTTCTACTTTCTTTCTTTCTTTAGGTTGTTCTAATTTCTGCCACTCTTCCACATGAGATACTGGAAATGACAAGCAAATTTATGACAGACCCCATTAGAATCTTGGTGAAACGGTAAGATACGTTTGAAATGTAGGCATGAAGTTAATTTTTAGAAGTATGTAACACCTCTGGAAACATTGAACAACTTGGGGTTATTACACAGGAAGAGTTGTGTAAAATATAAGCCCCAAAAATTTATTTAAATTAATTTTTCACAAGGAATTCCTCATTAAAGTTGAAGTTCACTTTACTGATGTGTTGTATGAAATCATGATAACTACTCCTTAACTTTGTGGATGTACATGTATGTACATGTATATGATAAGGTGGTACTTTCATGTGTAGGCTTCTCAGGCATGTGTCTTTGCAGGATTGGTCCTTATTTCACTCTCTGTTTTAATGTCTAATAGAGGTTTCATGAAAATGCACAGTTGTCCTGTATATGCAAGGCCTCAGTGCAAAATGTAAACATCCCTGTATACATAAAATCTAAAAGTTCATTGACCATGGTATATTAATACAATTATTGTGTTTTTGGACATTACCCATTGTCCTTTTATTTGTTTATGTAGAACAACATTTTGGAGACTGTATTCTGTCTGCATCTTCATGTAAAAGCCCACTCAGTTGGGCCCAGTCGATAGAGCTGGTCCTTATCTCTGGACGACATCAGCACTAACACAGGATATATATAAACCAAGCACAACATAAACCACCTGCAAGAGTTAAGACAAACATTAAATAACTCCACATACACCTATATCCATGCACTATTTCAGGCTAGTGTTAAACTCAAGAGTACTATCAGAATAGAAGTCATCACTAAGGAGACATATTCCCTGTATAGTACCAACATGAAAACACAGCTTTCTACAAATTGACAAAGAAAACTTGACAGTAGTGTTGGATGAGTCCACATACAAGGAGGAGATAATAGAGTCTACAAGAATCAGGGGTTTATGAAAATCTACATAAGGATCCAACATCTCAAATTTGAGCATAAAACTGTCCTTCCAGCTTCCTTGAAGCATAAGCCCGATCCTTACTACAGCAAACCACCTCACCTTCATGGATTTCCAAAGATACACAAACCTGACACTCCCCTTGGGCCAGTGGATAGCTCTATTGGCTGTCCCTGTTATGACCTAGAAGAGCTTCTCCATAACATCCTCAGGCCTCCAGTTGGCAATACAGACTCGTTTTTGAAGAACACACAACACTTCATAAAATTAATGCAGGAGATCAGCACCTTCAAAATGAAGTTTTAATGTCTTCAGTCTATTCACCAACGCATCAGTGGAAGAACTCTTACCGGTCATAAGAAATAGACTTGGTATGGATCCTTCTTTCCCAGAATGCACACCTTAGCAACTTGAAGAAATAATGGAATTACTGGACATCTGTTTAAGAACTGTTTGATGATAAATTCTGTTGGCAAAAGGAGGGTATGGCAGTGAGAAGCTCACTACGCGGTAGCGTAGTGGTTGACCTTTATGAGCCGAAAACCCCGTATGGGGACCTTTAAAGTAAAGCCGAGTGGCCAAAAGATACCGTATGGGTATGCACAGTCCACGCATGCGCACAGTGTTTTAAAATCTAATTTTATGATAGAAATTCTTGTTCTACTTACATTATTTTTGGACACCAGCTTTATAAGTAGTCTGTCTCCCCTCCTGCGTCATCTAATTGAATGTTGCCTTCGTGTGGAACTGTTGGAAACATCCGGAAATGCATAGTCCAACATCGCACTTCACGCATTTTGTCCAGATGTAACTTCGTTTCCTACGCGAAGAGCACACGCGACATCTCAATCTCAAAGTAGAGGAAGTCGGCCAGTGATGTCGAGAGGCCTCCTCTAATCGAGATATCACCAATGACACAGCAGGAGGTCGACCCCTGGACCGTTGAGGGCGAGGTGGACCCCTTGCAGCATGTTCCAGCATGTTGCGCACAAGGGCGAAACAAAATTCTCTGTATGACAATTTCGCGCCACAGGATGACAACAGGATGAAACTGTTCAGAATCGTCATATCCAGGAAATGGAAAAATAGTTTATTTGTCCATTTCCAGGTCCAACGACTGATGCTATAACTGTTTGCCATTCTGTCTGCTTTGTTGACATAACCCATGTGCTTGTTGTAGTCAGCAACAATTGCTGGCTTGATGGCATTTCCATGCTCATCACAGAAACTGCCTTCTGCTGGAGGACAGTGCATGTTTGTCAGTATGTAAACATCACGTTTGTCCTTCCAAACTAGTGCTGTCGAGTTCCGTCTCACCCTAACACGAATGTCACCTTTCTTCAGTCGAAATTGTCTTCGTCGAAAATCGTCAGGCAAGCCCTTCCGATTAGGTCTAACTGTCCCACAGCACGTTATGTCCTTTGTCATCAGTTCCTCAAACAAGTCTGGTGAGGAAAAGAAATTATCCATGTACAGTTTGTGACCTACACCCTCAATACGTCTGCATAGGTCCCTAACTGTAGCATGTGTCGCTGTCACGTCTTGGTCGGCATGTGTCCTGTCTTTTCCTAGATAAACCTTCATGTCATAAGTATACCCAGCGTCGTCAACAATTTTGAAGATTTTGATTCGGAAACGTTTGTGTTTCTTAGGAATGTACTGCCTAAAAACCACCCTCCCTTTGAATTTAACAATTATCTTGTCTATGGCCAAATGTTCGGGAGGGTTATAATATTTTTCATATGCCTCATTGAGAGTGTCGAAGATGGTCCGAATTTTCCATAGTCTGTCATAACTGTCGGCATTCCTGTCAGTTTCTGTATTGTTGTCTGCAAAATGAGGAAAATGAAGAATGTGTAGAAAACTGTCGCGTTTCATTGTGTAAGAGTAGAAAGGCGTGGCAAATTATTCTGCAGTCGACCAGTAGTCCTTTAGTCTGTCTCTAATGTCATGTCCCATTTGAATGATTCCTAGAAACAGAAGCATCTCGGAATCGGTCACGTCAGGCTGCGGAGAAGGTCCGTCTTGAAGTTTGTCTGGGTACTGGTGGTAGTACCTATTCATCTCTTCCACCAGCAGATGGATAATCCCTGCGAAGTACAGCATGAAAACGCAGAAAGGGGTGGAATCCTTATTTACGTGTGGAGCTTCATTGATATTTAACCCCACATCTCCACCGGAATAATTATTCACACGCCTCCTGCCATGCTGGTGTCGTGGTCCCCAGGTTGCCGATGAAGATGATGGGTCTTTGTCGACTTCGGGTTCTGAGCCCGTTGTTTCCTCGCCACTCAGAATCTTCTGTACTGCAGTCTGAATCGGTGTCAATAATCAGCTGCTTCTCAATTTTGTCTTCTTCCAAGTGAAATGAGGCCATGCTGGCTAGTTTAAATTGCGATGTTTTATTCACAACACAATGCGGTAGGCTAGAACGTTCTGGTAGTGCAGGGCTATGCCGAGAACAATATCTCTGTGTGGTTAGTTCGAGATATGCACAGTCAGGGTTCCTGAAGGACAATTCTAATCGTATTGCTTATAAAATATCGCACTTTCAACTATCCACCATGGCCCCATTTGGCATGGAAGAGGCCGCTCATAAATTACACTGATTCAGAATGCGTTACAGACGAGACTGAAAGGCATTCCAAGAACAGTAGCTCTGTGTGTTTAGTCTGAGATGTAAACAGAATCATAACGCTTATAAAACATCGCAATTTGAACTATCCAACATGGCTCCATTTTGCATGGAAGAAGCCAAGACTGAAGGCCGCTCATAAATCTCACTGATTCAGAATGTGGTACAGACGAAACTGAAAGGCATTGCAGGGCTATTCCAAGAAGAGTACCTCTGTGTGGCTAGCCCGAGATATAAACATGCAGTGTTTCTGAAGTACAAAGTACGATAAGACTTGCGCCCACTCGTGCAATAGTAGAAAGGTTACGACGTGACTGGAGAATGTGCCATACAAACATTAACTTCCTCCCCTTTAGAAAAATAAGACAGGAAGAGAGGATGTCTTGCAGCATGCATTTATACTGCAGAAACTTTCTGCATATTTGTGGACAGACACTCAAAATTGGGAAACAAAATTTTTGGAATCAGTGTAACAATTTTTACAGATTCTAAAATCTGTAAATTACAGTATCTGATTCTATATTCTTTCTAGATAAAAGCAGCGTTTATTTCGTTTGTTTATCACAAAAATTGTAGATATCACAACATTTTGAGTAACATGATTACAATTTTTATTACTCTACAATGGCGAGCATTTAAATTAACTCCGTCCTGCTACCACTACCGGAATTTAAATGGCCCGTCCATTAAAGGTTAAGGCACTTTGCTACAAGTCGGAAGGTCACGGGTTCAAATACCAATGAGGTCATTGGATTTTTTTCAGTTGACCTAATCCTTCTGGCCGCACTATGGCCCTGGGATTCACTCAGCCTCTAACAGAAACGAGTACCAGGAAGTAAATAAATAAATCCTGGGGAGTAAAGCGCGGCTGGTGCATAAGGCTGACAACCTTACCGCTATCTTTGACCCGATTTTCTAGACAATGTGTGACCCTCAACGTCTCACAACCCTATGGGCCTTCATGGCCTGTTACAGGGATAGCTTTACTTACTTTTTTTTTTATTGCATTGGATACAGTAGACCTCAAACCCGCTAAATGGCTCAGCTACATTGATGGCACTTTCGTAGTTTGGTTATGTGGACCAGCAAGATTGGAGGAATTTCTTCACCACTTCAGCAGCCGTAGACCAACCATCAAATTCACAATGGACTTGAAAGTTAATGATACTCTTCCATTCTTGGACATCTTGACCATGAAGAAAGGTCTTAAATTGGCCACAAAAGTGTACCAGAAACCTGCTCCTGTGGTTTGTTATCTGCACTTCAAGTCTAACCACCCACATCATGCAAAAAGGGGAGTCATTCATAGTTTCATAATTAGAGCCAAGATCATATGTCAGGATCAGAAGGTTTTCAGCAAGGAAATCAAGAACATGAGACATGAGCTGATACTAATGAATACCTGCAAGAAATTGTTGACTCCTTAATGATGCCATCAAAAATGAATCGTCCTTCAGATACAGCATACCAGGGCATGCTCATTATCCCATATGTTAAGGGCATCTTCAAGAAATTTAGATGCATTGGAAACCTTTTCAAAGTCAAAACCATTTTCAAAACTAAACATACATTCCATGGGACATTCATGAAAACTGGCCCAGTTGGAGATGCCCAGCAGACAAAGCAGTGGGTACAATATCCCATTTGATTGTGGCATATGTTACATTGGCAAAACAAATGGACCTTTAGAAGTACACATTACTTATTTACTTATGGAGCTGAGCCCTTCTTGAGGAGAAGCCAAATCTGCAGCGACTTAAGAATTTCCCAGCATTTTATGGAACCCGAAGGTTCATTACCATGTTCACAAGAGCCCTCCACTGGTCCCTATCCTTAGCCAGATCCATCCAATCCATACCATCCCCCCCTACCTCTCCAAGATCCATTTTAATATTGTCCACCCACCTACGCCTTGGTCTTCCCAGTGGTCTCTTTCCTTCTGGCTTTCCTGCCTATATCCTATATGCATTTTTTTCTCCCCAATTCGTGCTACATGCACATCCTCCTTGACTTGATCGCTCTAATTATACTTGGAGAAGAGTACAAGTTGTGAAGCTCCTCATTATGCAGTTTTCTCCAACCTCCTGCCACTTCATCCCTCTTAGGTCCAAATATTCTCCACAACACCCTGTTGTCAAACACCCTCAGTCTATGTTCCTCCCTTAATGTCAGAGACCAAGTTTCACACCCATACAGAACCACAGGCAAAATTATAGTTTTGTATATTCTAGTATTTATGTTTTTGGACAGCAGACGAGAAGACAAAAGGTTCTGGACCAAATGGTAGCAAGCATTACCCGAGTTCAATTTCCTCCTCAATCAGGTTTTGATTTGTTATCATTGTTCCCAAATATCTGAACGGTGCCAAATTTTCAAAACATCTATTTTCTTTCGTTATATCATGATTTTGCCCAGAATTTTGGTGATGAGAGAGCAACATATACTTAGTTTTCTCTGTGTTTACTTCTAGACCAACCTCCTTACTTGCGTCAGTTAAAGTTCGCGTTTTTCTATATGGTATCTATATTATCACCCAGTAGATTCACATCAGCATAGACCAACAGCTGATGTGTCAGGTTTAATTTCAGTCCCTCTTGTTTTCCTGGACCTTTCTAATGGCATATTCACACATTAAGGAGCACAAATATGACTTGACCCGAGGCTTTCTCAAAAAATCAAAATTATCCCAACATGCATATGAAGTAGTGAAATGCTACATTTGGAGCATAGCTCTGTATGGGGCTGAAACATGGACACTTAGGGCAGTAGATCAGAAACATCTGGAAAGTTTCGAAATGTGGTGTTGGAGAAGAATGGAGAAGATCAGTTGGACCGATTATGTGAGAAATGAAGAAGTGTTAATTAGAGTCAGTGAGCAGAGGAATATCCTACATGAAATAAGAAAACGGAAGGCTAATTGGATTGGTCATGTTTTACGCAGAAACTGCCTTCTAAAAGAAGCTATCGAAGGAAAGATAGATGGGCGGATAGAAGTGACAAGAAGACGAGGAAGAAGACGTAAGAAGATGCTGGATGACCTTGGGGACAGAAGAGGGTACTGTCATTTGAAGGAGAAAGCTCTAGATCGCATTAAGTGGAGGAATTGTTTTGAAAGAGACTGTGGACCTGTCGTCTTGACAGATTACTGATGATGATGATGATGCATATGAAGGTCACAAGATATGTTGGAAAGAAGTGAAGGGCTTGCAGATGGAACAGGACAGGGAATAAAAGGAAATAAAGCAGTCCACCCACGTGTCTTTGGTAGTTCATCTGATCAGTCAACCCAGCTTGGACATCTCTCCCATCTGGACTCCCATTATTGCCATAGAAGTCGGAAGACTAAAACTCCATCCAGTGTAGACTGTGAGTGAAAGTTGTGTTTTTGTGTTGGTACTATACAGGGAATCTAATTATTGATGACTTCTGTTCTGATAGTACTCTGGTTTTAACAACAGTAGCCATTAAATAGGGCATAGACATAGGTGCTAGGCCTCATGTTTGGAGATTTCCAACGTTATTAACGTTTGTCTTAACTCTTGCCATGGTTTATGTTATGCTTGGTTTATATATCCTATCTTGTGTTGATGCTCATGTCTGAAGATAGGGACTATCTCTATCAGTTGGGCCCAACTGAGTAGGCTGCCACAGTTCTCTATATACTCGTATATGCACTGTTACAATCCATTTTCAGCTTGGTGTAGCCATAAAATGCTAGATTTATATTCAGGAGGTGTGTGGTTTAAATCTTCCAGAACATCAGCTATCCTGGCATGTTTTTATTTCTCATTCCCTCCATGCAAAGGCCAGGATAGTACCTCAGACCATGACCTCTCCCTGCCAACTCCTTTCTGGTTCATCATTCACCAATCATCCTGCCATTCAACACCTTGTAATCTAGAGAACCACAAAATAATGATAAACTTAAAAAATGTTTTGCTTCAACAATCCTTCTTAATCTGATGACAGTTCCTAAAAGTCTGATTACTGTAGTTTATCAGTTAAAAGGGCCTCTGCTTGCCACCTGCTTTCATGCTTGTTTCGTGCTCAGTCATATGTTCTTTCAGTGAACTATATGGTGTTATATTCCAGAAGATTGCCAGGTCCTAGAGGTTTCTGACTATTGATTCTGGCATGTCAGGAATGCCACTAAGGAATAGGTTACACACACACATGTACACTCACACTCACTCACTCACTCACTCTCTCTCTCTCTCTCTCTCTCTCTGTGTCTGTAAGTCTGTAATACATCATTACACAAAGGAATTATTTTTCAATTCACTGCTGCCTCTTCCTCATTATAAATTTCTGTATTCTTGTCTTCAGTATAATGTTTCCTGAACTGCACAAAGAATAATGTTGTCATGTGTGAGGGTGACTGTTAGATGGGGTTTGGATTGCTGAATGGATTTATTGAATACCTATACACACCACATATGGAACTACTAGTAATTACAATGCTATCATTGATCTGTGCCCTCCATGTCTTCTGGATCGATCATTCCATTCATTGAAAGGCATGAACTTACTATTTAGCTTTAATGCTATTTCTTCAACCTTCTGTCTAAGCACTGTACCTTTAAATGGTATATTTAATGCTCATTTCTGCCTAAACCTAAATTCTCTGTTTGATATTGTTAAGTTTGGTATCTTGGAAACAGGGATGTATTGTATTATTGTCTTATATAGGGCCTGGTTTCCAGTTCATCCAGGCTATGTTTGAAAGTTTAAAATTAATTTTTATAAGACTGTAATTGTTTCTGTTAACTAGTGATGAATTGACACTGGAAGGAATAAAGCAGTTCTTTGTGGCAGTGGAACGTGAGGAGTGGAAGTTTGACACACTGTGTGATCTTTATGACACATTGACCATTACACAGGCTGTTATATTTTGCAACACAAAGAGGAAGGTATGTTTTGAAATTCTTTTGTAGCATGTAATTTCTTTACCTGTTATTTAAAATATTGTTGCAGTTATCATAATGTATTTATATGTATACCTGTCTGATTTTCCTTTAGGTTGACTGGTTGACAGAAAAGATGAGAGAAGCCAATTTCACAGTTAGCTCAATGCATGGAGATATGCCACAGAAGGAACGAGATGCCATAATGAAAGAATTTCGCTCAGGGCAGAGGTTATTATGACATTAATTTTTTGAATTATGTTGGAACACAGTATATTTAGGTGGAGTTTGGAATAATGGTAAATGTCTTACTGGATGTACACATGTCTGCAGTACATTCACTAAGTTGTCTGTATCAAATTCTGAAATTAGATCACAACAAATTTGTCACAGTGTATCTTTAGTTTACAGGCAAGCGGCCTCCATAGTCTAGGGGTAACGTTCCCATCTCATGACTCAAGGTACGCGGGTTCAAACCCGGTGGAGGTTGTGGAATTTTTAAGGGCGGAAAAATTCAGGGAACAAGTCCTCCGGGAGGGACTTTAAAGGCTTCCACACACAGACGCGATACTCAGCTCAGTACGGTACGGGAAAATATCTAATTACTTTGCGATAAATGGAGGTCCGCACACTGGCGCGGTACTCCGAGGAACGCGATATTATCGCAGTCGGTATATCGCCTCGGTATTTCGGTCTACCGAGCGCACTCGGTAGACCGCGCGGTATCGCAGCGGTAAATAGTCATGGATCAGTCTTTGGAGGAAGAAGTTTTGCTTTTAGCTGTCGCTCTTGATGACGAAGGTGAACCCCGGCAAGTATTTTACTGAACACTAAATCTGCGTAGTTCTTTTCCTCCAAATATTCAGTATGTCATATATATGTACAAATATTTACAATTCCATAACGAGTCTCTAATTAAGTACGTATAAGTGTGTTCGTATTTTAGGCGAAAGAGACGAATCGCTTGGGTTCATGATATAAACTTGTCAAGAGAGGAACTGGGGGAGTTTTATACATTGATACCTCAACTCCTGAAGGACGAAAAACGGTTCTACATATATTTCAGGATGAAAATTGACAGGTTTGATGAAATCCTGAGAGCCATCGGGCAAGAAGGTATCACTAAACAATATACCAATTGCCGGAGGCCTATTCTTGCCATTAAGTGGAGGATTTTTTTGAGACCCATAGAAGTGAAAGAAGGAAATATAAAGCACATTGTATCAACAGCATGTTTGCTTCATAATTTTCTACGTCTCAAAAACTGTGATGAAAAGTACAGGGAAGAACTGCTACGAGTGGAGCCATTGGAAGGAGAAATGTTCCCTATCCAGCCTTTACATCTCCCAAGGGCGGCAAACGTTAGCTATGCTATTAGAGAGCGGTTTGGTGTGTACTTCAACTATATGACTGCCCCTGGAATTCGTGTTAGTGAACGGAACTGGTGCATAGCCTACACTAAGAATGCCCACAGTTACTGTATACTTAACCCTATATAAATATATACAGATTTTTCTACTTGCTGCCTCTGTTCATTGGAACAGCCAATTCCTTCCACTTTCTATCCTTAGCACGTGAATCCTTGTACATCAGATGATGAGTATCGTACAATAAAGCATTTTCTTTGACAAACTCTATTATTTGCTCCATTTCGCTACCCATCTCGTTTCACGTACTTATAGATAGTGATTGAGTGTGAGTCATGGCAAACTGGTTATCGGGTGTCAAAGATTCCCGAGTTCCGAGTGTCGCGTCTGTGTTCGGCCCACTCGGTAAAGAGCCGCTTTCATCCCGAGTGCTATATCGTCCCAAATCGTATCGCGTCTGTGTGTGGGACCCTTAAACCATGGGTCCTGTGTCATAGATTTATGGCACTTAAAAGAACCTCATGTCTCTGGGAGACCTCTGAGATAAATTAGGCAAATTTCCAACCCAAGTAGTTTCCAATGCCTCCGGTAGATGGGGGAGCTTAGGTACCACTGCCAGAGGAAGGACGACCTCACTGACAGAAAGGGACTAACTATCAGATACAACTGCCAGTAGAAGGCCGAAACCTCGCTGGCAGAAAAGGAACAGTAGCAAGCACCAGTACCGGTAGGGTATGGAGACAGTAGAAATTCAAAGAGGGACGCACTATGGATCAAACTGGTCGCAGTGCATGGGGTAATCTACCCCCATCAATACTGAATAACTGAATAGTTTGCAGGCAAATAACGAATAGTATTAACTACATTAACCCTTACACTGCTGAGGTTGAAATATGTTGATCTCTGAAAAACATGGCATCCTTGCTGCAGTCGACAAAACCTGTATTGCGACTTTAGTTTCAAATCTCAGGTTTCTTTGCACCAATTGCATTCAAACTTGGCAGGTGCATAGAGTCATCTGTTGGGATCGCAATGAAGCATCATTCATTTCAATGGCTGCATTTTTCTGCCCTCTAGCTTAATAAATGTAAAAGGGTGCATCTGCACAGTGAGGCACGTGCTCTGTGGTCATGTGGCACAGGTATTTCACAGGGCTAGTAAAAATGGCTTTGTATAGTGTGCAGTGGTTTCTATAATATTTTTAAATAAAGTTATGGACTTTGGTCAACATATGACATAGTGATAAGACTAGGATAGTGAATTATGTACTTTTTGGCCATCTTGGACAACCCTGATTTAAATGGACTTCTCCACTGTGAAAAATACTCAATAATTCAACATTTCTGCAACTTCTGCTGCCTGTCCCCTGTCTGAGGTAAGATGAGTTAAATTTTATCACAAATTTTCATACTTTGCACTTAAATTATTTATAAAAGATTTATTCAAAAATGATTCAGGACAGAGGGTACTGAGAGTTACTTAACATAGCAGTGAAAGGGTTAAAGTAGGTCAGCATTTATTCCCAAACCCATCATGTCTTACCATTTGTAAATCTTTCCATTACTGCCATAAGCATTATTTTGGAAAGATGTAAATGTTTTTTCTACTTTTCAGCCGTGTTCTCATAACTACTGATGTTTGGGCTCGTGGAATTGATGTGCAGCAGGTTTCCTTGGTTATAAACTATGATTTACCAAACAATCGTGAACTGTACATCCACAGGTAATCACCAATAAGAATGAATTGATTTTTAAGTAAAGTAAAGGTATCCCTGTAACAGGCCATAGAGGCCCATAGGGTTGTGAGACGTTGAGGTTCCCACATTTTCTAGACCATTGCCTCATAGATGGCAGTAAGGTTGTCAGCCCTATGTGCTGGCCGCCCTTTACCCCCAAATTCATTCCAAGAACATTCCTAGTACTCATTTCTGTTAGAGGTTGACTCGACCCCAGGGCCATAGTGGGGCTGGAAGGAGTAGGTCAATTGAAAAAAAAAACAGTGACATCATCGGGACTTGAACCCGTGACCTTCCAGCTTGTAGCCTAGTGCCTCAACCGACTATGCTACCATGTACCCCAAATTGATTTTTAAAGCATGGTAATTTTATATTTATAAAATTTTCCTCAAAGCATGGCAACGTGTTTATTTTTTTAGTTTACTTGTCTGCCCTACATTCAGATCCACCTTATGAAATTTTTCTTCGCAGAAGTGAAATTTGTATTATGGTCTTATGAGTTATGACACCATATAATCTGGTAGATGTTTGTCAGTGTTTTAGAAGAACCTGTTGCCCCAATCTTTACCATGAATATGGAGGCAGGGTGTTCCTTCAGAATGTTGGTAACTACTAACGACACTACATGGCATCATAATCCAGGCGACCCAAAGTATTTGCCTTCCCATATAATAGTTCTTTCCCATTATATAGCCCACTGGTTCCTTTAATATATCACTTGTCCATTAACCTTGTATGCAGAACTCTTTCTGTCTAGTTTAAATAGGGACTTGGCTTCTGGGATCACTGTATGTAAGCCATCCTGGGGTATAAAGGCATCTAGTCCGAGAAAACAGAAATCTGAATAACCACCACTGGTAGAACCTCAAATCTTACATCATGGTTCACATATCTGTCATAGGAAATTGGTGTATGGTTCCAAGATAATCCGAGTATAGATGCCCACACAAAAGAGGGATGGTGCATATTATTTTCCTGTTAGACGTACCATTATGCTGGCTGCATTAATAATCTTGTATTCACACAGTGATAAGCAGATTTTATGGAGAGTCATGTCTGTGGCAAGTTGTGGTTATGCTTTACCAGTGCTTTATGTGGAATTCTCAACTTCACATGAGAACATTTCTGCATTTATTCCACAGAGATCACTGTGCGCCTAATGTTGTGTGCTGTGATTCATTGTCACAAGCATATAGTGAGTGATCCAAGAGAACAGATCATCATGGGATGGATCTCACATCTTCCCATTCATCATTTTCCAGCCTTTTATATCCTGCAAACCTGTTTCTTGGTAATATACAGGGTGTCTAAGGAGGAAAGGTTAATATTCTGGGAGGTTATAGTATCGGTCATTCTAAGCAAAAAAAAGTGTATATGTACGTGTGTACTTACTTACTTATGAAGCTGAGCCCTTCTGGAGGAGCTGCCAATTCAGCAGCTGCTCAAGAATTTCCCAGCATTTTTTATGCAACCTGAAGGTTCATTACCGGGTTCACAAGAGCCTTCTCATGTACACATATTCTATTCCAAATGGTTTCTGAGATAGAGCTATTTGACTGTAGAGTTCCAGAATTGTTTATAAGAAAGAGATATTACATACTGTGTCTAAAACCAACATTTATTGTTCAAGTTACAAAGTTGGTACACTTTACGTAGTATATACATTTTCAAAAACTCCATCATCAACATCAGTGCACTTTTGCAACGCATGTGAGGACATGGCGTGTTGCTCATTTAGAATGACTGGTACTGTGACCTCCCAGACTATTGATCTTTCTTGGTACACGCTGTATAATCTCATAATCTCCCTTACAAAAAGAAATTTGTGGAGTGATTGTATCACTTCCACATGCTGTGGTTTAGAAATGGTTTCAAGTGATTATAAACCACAATAAATCTATGTTAAGTTTCTGATCAGTATATGACTTAAGGGTATTAAATTCACTTTGGAAACAAATCAGATATAGGGACAATTTCAACCTAAGTCACTGCACAAACTCATCTGATGGGGGATGTTTATTGGGTTGCTGTGCCAGAATTGCATCCCCTCAGGTAAAAATTCATTCTGTGTTAATCGAGGAAGAAAAAGTACTATATGTTGGATATTAATAAGATGAGTAATACAGTAATTACATACAACTTACTGCAATCTTTAGTAGTGGCAGAATACCAGTGATTAACCCATACTGGTGGTGAGGGACAAGTCAGAAATTGTTATCTAGTGGACGTTCGCTTTCAGTATGGTGGCTATGCTTTTTTTTGACCAACAACATTTTAAGATTATGCACCGCTGAAGAATGATGCAATTTCGAGTCATATCCCACATCAAGTCTTTCTGTATTTGTTTTTCAGATAAGAAAATTCTCTCTGGCACAGATAGGTGGTTGAAAATGGCAATAAAACTACAACAGCTTTTCTCAACAGTACTGGAAACTTGTTTCTTAAACCCAGCCAAAATTTGATCAGTGGGAGACTTCTGAAAATGTTTCTCAATCCATATTTGTTAGAGATTTCTGTTAATTGCTCTTTCTCTGCAGTGCCCAAATATTTGTCATGCAAAAATGGCAGTGTCATCAAAAGGATCATGTATCTAGTTATTATTGTCTGATAAAGCTGGAAATTATTCTGTGAGCATTCTGCTAAGCCCTCTCAGGTGATCAGTTACTTTAGGTTTAACACGGTCTTCCAGTTCAAGTTCAAGCCCTGAAGAGACAAATAGAAGTCATTAATTCCTGAGAAAATGGCTACTAAATAAGCCAAAGCGTGGAGCCAGACAGGATGTACAAGGACTCTGCCACATGAGAGCAACCTAACTTTGGTATGAGTCAACGAACAATTGCATATGCTGCCCATTTCCTCATTAAGTGCTCTGAATGCCTTGATGAAATTTACTAATTTCACAGCATCATCCAGCACTGAATTTAATCCCTCAGACATGCATTTTGAGGCAAGATCTTGTCTGTGAATGTTATAGTGTGTCTTATAGTGTGTCTCAGGGCCAGCATAATTTCATCATTCATCTGGCCTCCCCTTTCATGGGTCTGCAGAATAACAGATCTTAGAATGTACCCTCATTAATTTATCATACAGACACTACAAACTAGTTTGGTAGTTACGTATATTGATTCATCCAACAGGATGATATATGAACTAGTTCTAAGTCAATGTATGACTTGTTCCTGTATTACTTAACGTCATTACCCTGATGGGACAGCCTTTTTGTTGCATTTCTTCTGAACGGATAGTGAATTACATCTTTTACATGTGGACCAACTAAGCTTTCTGCAGCATAATTTGGTTTTGCTACTCTGTATGACACTTCATGTCCATTTTCTTTATCATTAGTTGCTGTAGAAATAAAATTAATAATGTCACTTTTTGACTGAATAATTTTTTAATTTGAAAAATCAGCTCGCATGTTGAGTTGAGTGGCATATCTGGTTTCTAAGTGCCATCAGAGAAGGTTCAAGGTTGTTATTCGCAAGCATATCACCACAAATAGACACCACAGTCTTGAACATTTGGAATCACCAGCATATGTATATCCACATTTTGTATACTTGGGTGTTCTTTTCTTGACACACATCTTTAGTACACCAGTTTGTTTGATGACGACACAAATTTGGTTTATCACATGCTGGATCTTGTGCAAAACTACACGTAACTGATGTTAATGTCCATTTTCTCATGTCTTTTTAATATTTTTTTCATTTTTAACCACTTATCTGCTGCAGTAAAAATTAATCTCACGCTGTGAAATACTAACAGCCACTTGATAAAAGATTCACTTTACTGAAGTAGATAACAGCACATCTCTGAATAAATGAATGACTCAGGTCCAAATAACCCACAGTCTGCAGTAATTGAGTTTGGTGAGGGATGGAATTGGGGGTACCATGAAAGTTCCTCTACCTGACAATTTCTGTACCCATTGTCATGAAACACTTGTCTGTCACTCAGTGTTCCATCTCCTTAGAAGAAACAAGAAATTAAACACGGTAGTTTTACAAGTCAGCAAACAAAAGCAATTTTTTCTGAAACATATGCTTTTGCAAGTGAGACCAAATTACTTGTCATGTAAACTAAGAACGGGCATGCAGTAATGTAGTTGGTTGAGGCACTTTGCTACAAGCTGGAAGGTTGTGGGTTCGAGTCTCAATGAGGTGGATTTTCTTCAATTTATCTAATCCTTCCAGCTGCGTTATAGCCCAGGGTTTGACTCAGCCTCCAACAGAAATGAGTACCGGGAACCTTCCTGGGGGGTAAAAGGAGGCCGGTGCATAAGTCTGACCTTACAGCCATCTTTGAGCTGATTGTCTAGATCAGTATTCCGCAACCTCTTTCTACTCACGGCACACTGTGAAGTATCCATGACTCAACACGGCACACCAAAATGTTTATTCCCCTCAAAAGCGCATATCAGACAATTAATATAAATACATAACATGATCAACTTATTACTATAATATTATTATATTGTTATTTTATTATCATTAAACAGAAATTGACTCGTGCATTTATTAACAATTAATGAACTTCAGTTCACTGTAGAGTGTAGAAAATACACTTCTATTACTATTAAAGTAAATACAGTAATTCTACTCATACCTTCAATGTGATACTTGCACCTGCGTAGCTGCACACAGGTGACTGATCCGTGGTGGAATCGTTGACAACACAAGTCTCATTTCTTCATTGATGGATTTGAGCCGCTCCCTCTTTGATGTCTTAATTTCAGTTAACGTCAAGAAGCCCAGTTCACACAAATATGTAGTTCAAAATGGCAATAACACATTAACTGCCATCTTGGAGATAGCCGGGTATCCACTCCTTATTGCCAACCAAAACGTATCCAAAGGCACTTCAAGAAGTTTTAGTTGTCTGCTTTTAAATCTGTGAGTTCCTCTTGTATATTAATCGGAAGATGTTCTGAATTCACAGCAAATGGATCACGAACCCAGTCAAAATCTTGTACACTCTCTCCAAAATACTTATTGAATTTCTGCTGCAGCATTTCTAAATGTTCTTTAATTGTGTTCATCACCACTTTATTGCCGTCAGCAAGTGGCCATACGGTCGGGGACATCTCAGATGACCCATCTGTAATTCTCTAACTAGAAACCAAAATTTGCGAACTACTTCAGAGCACGGCTGTGATAGAACTGAAACAATTGTAAAACGTGGGATCTATACTCTTCGAACGGAAGATGTGACTTATTTTTTTAAATATTTATAATTTTAAATGAAGTTCAACAATTGGTGGGTGCATCATTACAGGAAGAAAGTCATAAAGTTGAAGAAGCTCTAACTATTAACAAACAGGGACAAATACCAAAACAGCATTATAAAAGACAGGAAAACCCATGCTGATCCCTGCAGTTTTAGGGAAACGCACGTACACAGAACATGCGGCAAGCATATCAAAAAAGCTGCATAGATGTGAGGAAAATAAAAATAAGTCAATAATGAAAACTATGATATAACAACTGTGAGTAAATAATTTTTGTTTAATTTCTTAGAATACACCATTACTGTACATAAAAATCACAGCATGTAATAAAGAATAAACAAGCATCTTATTTAATCAGTGCAGTGGCTGAGAATAAAGTACAAGCATATGAAACACTGTAACTGGGATAAAATAAAACGAATAAAATGTGACAATTAATTTCTTACAATAGGTAAAAGTTCGCGTCACACCTTTCACCTTGTGACGGCACACTGATTGCGGAACACTGGTCTAGAGAACATGTGGGAGCCTCAACATCTCACAACCCTATGGGCCTTCATGGCCTGTTGCAGGGGTAGTTTTACCTTTTATATATATTGTGATGTGTTGTGCTATGGATGACGCCCCCCCCCCCCGCCAGCCGTGATGTGCTGAGCGGAGCCGAAGTTAGCCGAGTCCCAGCATACTGGTCACTATGCAATGCAAGTCAACAGCGGTGACGTAACACGGGACGCCGCAGTTACTAAGTAGCGGTAAACAACTCCCAACAGTGTTGCTAGGCTATCGGCTACCACGGCGGCAGACAACAGTGGTGCTGATTACGTGGCTGTTTTCTGCGCTGTCCGAAACGAGGCTAAATAAGGAGCAGCGAAGACTGTTCACAGTTTAGTTCTCAATCTAGCCAGCGGAGAGTAATGAGTTAGCCAGCAACCAGTCAGTTGTATTCTGGCATTTGCAGTCTAGTATTTGTGATACTGCAGATAGCAGTAATTGTGAAGCTGTAAATTGTGTGATTGTAAGAGCGAATGTGGAATAAAATTCGCTGCATCCAATAAGGCGTGAAGTTATTTGTCGCGATATACACCCAACATGTGACAATATGCTAAGAACACAAAAAAATATGCCATTAATGATATCTTTCCACCAACCCTCCAGGGGTTTTCACTGTTTTAATGTATGTATATATATGTCTTTTTGTTTGCCAGTAGTTAAATGTGCATTACCATGCTATAGTAACCATTCCTTCAGACTGCTATTGATAACACCTAACTGAATTTAGATGATTTCTGTAAAATTATATCACAATTTGTGTGTGTGTTTCAGGATTGGGCGATCAGGTCGATTTGGCAGGAAGGGTGTTGCCATTAACTTTGTAAAGAGTGATGACATCAGGATTCTCCGAGACATTGAGCAGTACTACTCTACACAGATTGATGAAATGCCAATGAATGGTAACTAAAAATTCTGATTTAATTAACAGATAAGTTGTATGTTGCTTACGTGGAGCATTCATTCTTTGTTCTGTTTGTTTCTTACTAGAGCAAAACCTGGTAAATTCAGTTGTGCCTTTATTACATTATGAAATTATGTTTCATAACTTGTCCCAGTGCATTTTGTGATGATTTCGTTTCTCAGGTAGACTATCATTCTGCAGTTGCATTTGAAAGTTACAGTTTAAGAAAAATATTTATGCTTTGTTATTAGTTTTATCAATGAAATTTCTATTTTACAGTTGCCGACTTGATCTGATTTGCTGAACACAAAAGAACTTCTGTTCTTTTGGTTGAGAGAGAAGATTCATATTACATCATCATCATCATCATCATCATCATGGACATTCACTATTGAAACCAGCACTAAATATTTGTATTACATATCTCTTCTCTGTAATATTATATTCAGTATCACTAAGAATCAACACTTTGTATATTGCACTTGATTAGTACTAGCAAATTATATACTTTATCCAAGTCATTCTTAGAAACATTGGGTACAATTACAGGGGACCTCTGTGAAAAAGATCTTACTGTAACTAAGATATAAGGAGACTGCATAATTATGTAAAATAAGCATGTAGGAAGGTACTCTAAATATGCATGGCCTGTGTTCATTGATCTATGGAAATTGATAGTAGAGGTTTTGTGTCTCTTGAGTTGGCCATGCTTATTTAATGAAAGTGATATAATTTCATATTTATCTGGGGAAGAACAGGTTTGAACACCAAACAGAACTGCAATGTAGGGAATTTATCATACATAATGGAACTGGGGCTGTATTCTGTGTGAGGGGAAACAAATGGCTGTTCCACTCTGACTATGTGTTATGTATGAACATCCATTAAAGTTTCAGCAGTGATACAGTGAGAAAACTCAAAGACAGTTCTGTTTGAATTTCTTTGTAAGAACCTGATTAAGTTCATTTGACTTGGAGAAAATTTTAGGTAGGTAAATTGTTGGTTAAAGGCTTAAATTTGACAGTGGAGCAGGGAAACAGTGGTTACAAAACCCAGTACTGTGGTTGAAGCAATCTTTTTCTAAGTTTGTGCATCTGTTATATGCCCAGAATTAGTTACTGGTACATTTATATTTGTGTAATTGTTCAACTTAGATCCATTAAATCCATTCCTTCAGCAGTGCTTTTAAGTATTATGTACAGAATACCATAAAGCAAATGGATTAATGAAGACACAAAAATGTTGTGGCTAGAATGTGGATAATATATAAAATGATCATAAAAGGGTCGTGGAATTCAGGCACAGTTTTTATTAACCTTTAAACGACTAAAGACAACGTATGTCGTCGTTAAAAGAAAGTCCCCGGTACGAATGACACTATATGGTGTCGCAGAGTCCGCGCGTGGCAACGTTATATAAAATTAAATTTTAAAGTAGAAAATTATGTCCTACTTACATAATTTTTGGCCACCATCTGCATGGAGTGTCTGTCTTCCCGCCTGCATCATCTGCCGGAATGTTGCCTTCGTGTGGAATTCTCAAAAAATCCGGAAATGCAGAGTCCGATTTCGCAATTCACGCACTTTGTCCGGGCGGTCTTTCGTGTCCCACGCGAAAAGCACACACGACACCTCAATTGCGAAGTATAGCAAGTCGGCCAGTGATGTGGTTTGGCCTTCTATAGTCGAGATATCTCCCATAAAACGGCAGGGGTTCGACCCCTGGCCGTTGATGGCGAGGTGGACCCCTAACAGCATGTTCTGCAAAAGAACGAGACAAAATTCTCAGTGTGACAACAGGATGTAACTGTTCAGACCAAGGAGATGGAAAAATAGCTTATTTGTCCATTTCCAGGTTCGACAACAGATGCTATAACTGTTTGCCACAGTTTGCCCACAGCTCCACCTGAAAAATTATTCACACTCGTGCCATGCTGGTCTGGTGGTCCCCAGGTTGCCGACGAATAGCTAGACAGAACACTTCCAGTTACGAACCAAGCACTCAGTGTAATGAAACTGTATAAAGAAATGTAATCTTATTGTGCAGCCGAGCCATTCGCCCACTTTTCATTCCACAAGAATTACGTCATGGTACGATCACACTTTGAAATTACGCTCGACTGAATGCTTCCAGGAACGAAGCTATTACGGTGTGTGTTCATACAGTAACACGATTTCATAAAACAAATGCTAGCCTTCATCTCTACAAGAACAGTACACGTATTGTTTATCAGAAGAACTCTATATGCAACAACACGTGACTTTATATCACTCTTCCACTGTCCATATTCTAGTAGTGGCCAAAGATAAGCTCTAGACTCAACATCCGGTGTTACCGAGAGTTGCACAAGTGTCGTCATCAGCAACATCCAAACAGGGGTGTCCAGAACGTATGAATTCTTGCACAGAAACAAGAAACTGCGAAAATTCTACTTTGGTGTCAGTGCAAAAATTTTAACATGTTTTATACAATCTGTAAATTACAATATATGATTCTATATTCTTTAGAGAAAAAAACAGCGTTTATTTCGTTCGCTTATCACAGAAATTGCAGAAATAGGAGCGAATTTAGTTAAGTGACTACAGCTTTAACGGATCTCAAATAGCGGCCCTTTAAAGAATTCCGTATGGCTGCGAAAACCTGAATTTAAAGGGCAGTAGGATAAAGGTTAAAAAGGACATGTAAAGAAACTAACCTAGTCACCCTTGAAGTAGTGAATTTCTGCACATACGCACTTGATCCAGCGGTCATGCCGTTGCCGAAAGCACTCCTAGAAGTCCTGTTCTGGTATGGTTCTGAGACTTGCTGTCACATTCTGTTGCATTTCTTCCATGGACACGAACCAGTGACAACTGAGCCCCATCTTGAGTTCCAGGAAGAGCCGAAAGTTGCACAGAGTGAGATCTAGAGAATATGGTGGCTGGGTGTGGTTGGAATTTGGTTTTTCACCAAAAGGGAGGTGTGACAGGGTGAACTGCACTATCATTGTGCAGGATCTAATTGTTTCTCTGTGGCCAACTGCAGGACACTCTCTTAGCCTGTTGCAACTTGTTGCACAGATAATACACAGTCCATTCTTGTGCAGTCCACACTCCTTTGCCTCAGTAGGAAATGGTTATCTCAGTATGACAATTCTGGGAGCTTTTTGATCCTTGTAATGTGTATTGCATTGCATATGTGCCATGATTGTCCACAACTTGTGTTGGTATATTACCCTACCAGAGAATATAATGCAAATTGATGTCAGAATGAAATTAAAGTCTTCAAATGACCAGTCATGTCAGTCCAGAATAAATATCTGACATTTCTAAGGTTATGTCTGGCTCCATCATTGAGGACTGATGTGAACAAATAGCTCACTACTCATCACATCATGAAAGATGTATGGACAACTTCTGAAATATAGGAAATACATTCTATACTGACATGGTTGATCACATAAGAAGACATTGCATTCTGGTGCCATTCAAGTTCCATATTCTTATATTAGGACAATACCTGGCTGAAGTTTATGTGCTCATCAGGAACATGGAAAAGATATAATTGAATCTTAATAAAAGAATACTGGCTGTTAGAGTAAAACTTTGTAAGGATCACAATCTAACACATACTACCTCTAGAACAACTTACAGGACCACTGGATTCAGTAAATTGAAACCTAACCATCTATAACATTTCCAACCCCAACCCTGTTCCTCCAAAATGTCAGTTGATTTTCAGCAGACTTGCTTGCTTATGGAGCTGAGCCCTTATTCAGGAGAAGCCAAATCTGCAGCTACTCAAGAATTTCCCAACGTTTTATGGAACCCAAAGGTTCATTACTGTGTTCACAAGGGCCCTCCACTACTCCCTATCCTGAGCAATATCAATCCAATCCATACCACCCCATCCTATCTCTCTAAGATACATTTTAATAATGTCCACCCACCTATGCCTTGGTCTTCCCATTGGTCTCTTTCCTTCTGGCTTTCCCACCAATATCATATATGCATTCCTCTTCTCCTCCATTCATGCTACATGCCCTGCCCACCTCATCCTCCTTGACTTGATCATTTTAATTATGCTTGGAGAAGAGTACAAGTTATGAAGCTCCTCATTATGCAGTTTCCTCCAACCTCCTGTCACTTCATCCCTCTTCGGTCCAAATATTCTCAAACACCCTATGTTCCTCACTTAATGTCACAGACCAAGTTTCACACCCATACAGAACCACAGGCAAAATTATAGTTTTATATATTTTAATTTTTATGCTTTGGACAGCAGACGAGAATACAGTAGGTTCTGGACTGAATGGTAGCAAGCATTACCCAAGTTCAATCTCCTCTTAAGTTCCTCCTGAATCAGGTTTTGATTTGTTATCGTCGTTCCCAAATATCTGAACTATGCCATATTTTCAAAACATCTGCTTCCTGTCTCTATGTCATGATTTTGATGACGTAACAGCAACATATACTTAGTTTTTCCTGTGTTTACTTCTAGGCCACCTCCTTACTTGCATCAATTAAAGTCTGTGTGTTTTTCTTTATGGTATCTATATTATCACCCAATAGATTCACATCATTGGCATAGACCAACAGCTGACATGTCCCATTTAATTTCAGTCCCACCGGGTTTTCCTGGACCTTCCTAATGGCATATTCTAAAGCACAGTTGAAAAGTAGTGGCATAATAGCATCTCCTTGTCTTAGACCATTCTGGATAGGAAATTTATCAGACAGCTGTTTACTTATATGGACTTTACTATACATTTTGTTTAAACACATTTTAATCAGCTTAACTAGTTTCATGGGTATCCCAAACTCTATCGGAATATTGTGCAATACTTCCCTCCTAATTGAATCATAGGCTTTCTTGAAGTCTACAAATATCTGATATACTGTCTCATTGTACTCCCATTTTTTTCTCCAGTATCTGACAAATGCAAAAGATGTGATCTGTAGTTGATCTGTTATGTCAAAACCCACAGAGAGACGAATACTGCATAAAATGTTGTATGAAGTTGATAGCAGTGATATCCCCTGATAATTACTACAGTCAGTTTTATCACCCTTCTTGTGAACTGGTACAATAATAGACTCCTTCCACTGATAGAATTAATTAGCTTGTGGATCTTAGAATGTAATATTTCGTCTCGTGCTTGAGTAAGTTCTGGCAGAATTTGATCACTACCTGGCAATTTATACCATTTCAATTTTGCAATAGCAATTTCAACCTCAAATGGGCTAGATCAGGTATTGATGGCTCAGCTGTATGCATTTCTGTCTGCCTCTTTCAGCAGACAACATGCATCATATCTCAGTGGTTATCACCCTGTGAGAGCCTCAAAACCTATATCCAGAGGGAGGCAACATATGCATGTGCTGACAAGAGTGAAACAGCACCTCATCATGGAGCAGGAGGTTCTTCAACTAAGCCCTCAGTTAGGTCCTTGAAGCTTGAGGCTGCAAAGGTGGCAGTGACACCACCAGTGAGGCTGTGAGAGATAAAAGCCAGAGCCCCTATGGGAACATAATTGCCATTGAGCACCACAAGACTGAATGACCCATTACTAGTGTGGGGACACTGGGCATCTCAAAAGATATAGTTAACACGAGATATGAGGAGGAGGCCGACCAAGACTAGAGAAATGAATAACAGCTGGTGTCATTCCCCTTATTTGTTCACTGCTGAAATGTGACAAAGCCACTTCTAAAACACAACAAAATTAGCTGAGTTTTTATAAAAACCAACACAACCCATAGGAACTGTGAGCTCTCCGAATGTAGAAATCCAATCAGCTCACTAAACTTACATCATCATCAATTTGGTCACAATAAAACATAAAAATGTATCAGTGCGATCCCCTAATTCAGAAAATTATCAGTTAGGTTGCAACAAAAAACTTTATCAAAAATTTCAATATTCATTGCTGCAGGATACTGTTGTCATCTACCTTAACTGCTGTAAGTTTTTTGCCTTGTCTATATCGCTGTCTTGTAGTACTGAATTCCAAAGCGGTATGATGAGGCAGCCTTCTAACGACCCTTTTTATTTGTCAATGAGGGAAATTATCTTGTAGATCTCCACATATTATATTCATAAATGAGAGCTTGTTTATGATTTTTCAACAGCTGTCAGCATGAGCCATCTGTTCCCACTTAACAGTTAGTCAGCAGTGTGGCGTTGCATGGCATGGCTCGATACACTTTA